GAAATGTTTTTCCAAGTGAAGCCAAGGGGTCAATCAATGCAAGAGATTAATATGTAGAACACAAATGAAAATTAGGGCATCCCATTTGCCCTAATGGACAAACATCCACTTGTTCCCAGGCCTACCTGAAGATGCTGGGGCTTGAACCCTTCTGCATTCAAAGCAGCTGCTCAAGCACTGAGCCATGGGCCCCGTGTTCTATTCTGGCTCGCTAGTATCCCAAATTCAAGCCAGCAGTCAATCGGATGACATTAACTCCTTTTTGGTGGGGAGGGGGAGGAATGGATACTATTATATTAATCCACTACCATTTATCTTCCTGCAGTGTATGCAGTGGAGTGAATTAAATGCATATTATATAGATATATGTACTGCACGCAACTGCTACATATATACTGTTTGGATGCTGCTATATATAGAGCATGCAATGGATGTGTGTTCAGATTTGTCTCTCTAATATTCTGCTTTCCATTCTGCAATGATCTATTGCTGCAATACATCACCGGCATGATGACGTCCTGATAATGAATTACTATCATTTATTATTAGAATATCATCACTAGCATATTATCGCCATGCATCACCAGGGAGGCAGCCAGCAGGAACAGGGCTGCGAGAGATGGACGGGCTCTCACTCGGATTCATTTCCAGGTGGTAGTGTTGGTGGCTGGAAAAGAATTTGCATCCTTTGCAGAAATCTTTCCCAACCTGGTGCCCTCCAGATGTCTTGGACTGCAGCTTCCATCATCCCCAGCCAACACAGCTACATTATGAACTACAGCTGCCACCAGTCTGTTCCTGGTGATGAAAATGAATTCCTAGGTTCAGAAATATGCTCAGAGGTATTCTTTCATTCTCAGCAATATGTCTTTTGCACCTGATTCTGAGTGGTCGATCTTGGAATTCTAGTAAATAAAAAATGTGAACCGGCATTTTTTTATTTTTATTTATTTATTACATTTATATTAATATTATGTTTGCATGAAGTCTACCCAGACCAGAAGCTCCCACCCTTTGCCTCTGGTACAGTAGGCCCAAATTTGTCCCCTTTCACTGTGTGGTGAGCCTTTCCTCTACTGCAAATCATTGCAGAATGCCATCTTAACATTCCTGAAATTAATTTCCACTTTTGGACTCGTTCCAACTCCTCCTCTTGCAAGTCAAAAATGCAGATGTTGGCAAGTGGAAAGGGGAAATACGAGGCTCGCCATCTCCACAATGTTTGTGAGCTCCCTCTTAATCCTTTGGAAGGTTATTTCCTGCTTCTCTAAACTCCTTTGCATTCACCTTGTGGGAGTTTTCCCCAGGATTGGAGGGGGGGGGAGATATATTGTGCATTATTTCTGGCAATCTGTGTAGCTAGATTAACTGGAGAGTTAAAGTTGACCTGCACAGCCACTTTCATAAGCTTCAAGGGCAAGCCTTTCTTACTAACTTGAGAACTCAATGCTTTTCCCAAACTTTTGATAGCTGATATATATACTTCTTTATAATAATAATAATAAAAAAACTACCTGAATCAAAATTGGAGTCATGGGGTTATATCCAACTAAGTTCCTCTCAAAATACACTCACTGAAATGAATGTACCGAAGTTAGTTCCCCCCATCTATTTAAAAGGGTCTACTCTGAGTAGGACTAACATGCCTCCAGTTCTTTACTCCCTTGAAATTAGAAAGCTGCCTTCACATCAAGGCAGATCTTTGGTCCATCCGTGGGTGGGGGACCTTTTCTTTACATGCCAAGGCACTGGAGCCACAAAGTTCCCAGGAGAACAATAAAACACCCTGACACAGAGTATTTTGGTTTATGGGTTCAAATAGGCCACAACTTTATTGGGGTTGTTGGTGGTTTGGCTTAGGCGTTGGGGTGAAGCCAGGCTATATCTTGACTCCTGTCCATCTGCAGGGAGTCCACGGAAGGGTGAACCACTGATACAAATGGCCAGTGGCCACACCCACCCTGACAGCAGATTGGCTGGGGCTGTCCCCAGCACAGATGACGCAGCCGGCCATGACATGGGGGGGGGGAGGCAGCATACTGTTAGAATTCCTGCTCAATGATTGCAATCATGGGATTTATTTTTTTTACATGACAGTACATGTAAGTACTTAATTCGTTCCAGATGTCTGTTCTTTTTTTCTTTTTTTTGAATTTTTTTTATTGATTTTCCAAAAAAAATTAGACAAACAAACATAAATCTCAACCGTATTTAAACCAAGCATAGTAACATTGTTAAGTGACTTCCTCGTATCCCCCTGGTTGAATTTCAGTGTATATCATTTTAACGGTTTTCCAAATCCCGGAGGTCCATTCTTAAACTGAAACTGTTCTTAACCTGAAGCACCACTTTAGCTAATGGGGCCTCCTGCTGCCGCCACGCCACCAGAGCACGATTTCTGTTCTCATCCTGAAGCAAAGTTCTTAACCCGAGGTACTATTCCTGGGTTAGCAGAGTCTGTAACCTGAAGCATATGTAACCCGAGGTACCACTGTATATGTTTTGACTCCACAGAGTGGGAAGTGACAGAAACAGAATGTTTGTTTTACTGTGTTCCGTGAAGTGGGACTATTGTCCTTTGTTCTTTTTCTCTTTGCTGTCTGATGCTAGAGAGAGAGGGAGCCATGTTGCAGTGCTCTGTGTGTGTTTATATGTAAATAAAGTAGATTAGCCAAAATGCTGAGTTGCTGAGGTGTGTCACGAAAAGCTACGAAGACTCTGCGGATCTCTAAGTGTGCCGGTTTCGGTTGGCATCAGTCGCTGTGATGCTTGGGATGAAGAAAGCTTCTGAAGCTCCCGAATGATCGACCAGGAGGGAAAGAACATGCCAGTTGTGCATGTGTCTCTGCCAGGGTCCTACTTGAGTGTAGGCTAAGCTCCTGACACATACCTCCGCCTATGTAGGAAAACTGTTGAGGCTTGGCTGACCAACTGCAACGCCGTACACCAGATAAAAGGTGAACGGACTTCTTCAGCCTGAGGGCCACATATTGCATGGTCAATTTAGCATCACTTATTGAGGATCACATGTCGCCTACATGGGGGCGACATGCCAGTGGTAGGGGGGGCCAAAGGTAAATGTGATCAGAACCACAGACGTCACATTTATCTCTGTGCAGTAGGCTTCATCCCAGCCATGCAAAGCTCAGAGGTTTTCTATACGCCCATTTTTCCATCTTGTATACAGTGGTACAGGGACGCGGGTGGTGCTGTGGGTTAAACCACAGAGCCTAGGACTTGCTGATAAGGTCGGCAGTTCGAATCCCCGTGACGGGATGAGCTCCCATTGCTCAGTCCCTGCTCCTGCCAACCTAGCAATTCAAAAGCACGTCAAAGTGCAAGTAGATAAATAGGTACTGCTCCAGCGGGAAGGTAAATGGCGTTTCTGTGCGCTGCTCTGGTTCGCCAGAAGCAGCTTAGTCATGCTGGCCACATGACCCAGAAGCTGTACACCGGCTCCCTCGGCCAATGAAGCGAGATGAGCGCCGCAACCCCGGAGTCGGCCACAACTGGACCTAATTGTCAGGGGTCCCTTTACCTTTATACAGTGGTACCTCGGGTTACATATGCTTCAGGTTACATACGCTTCAGGTTACAGACTCCGCTAACCCAGAAATAGTACCTCGGGTTAAGAACTTTGCTTCAGGGTGAGAACTGAAATCGTGCCTCAGCGGTGCAGTGGCAGCAGGAGGCCCCATTAGCTAAAGTGGTGCTTCAGGTTAAGAACAGTTTCAGGTTAAGAACAGACCTCCGGAACGAATTAAGTTCTTAATCCGAGGTACCACTGTACAAGAAAAAAAATCATAGAATAAAGAACTTATTTTTTGTTTTGTTTTTTAAAAGAACACCTATGTCACTTAAAAAACCAAAGTTAAATGAATAAGGCTGCAATCCTGTGGATGCACATACTGAGAAGTAAGTTCCATTGAACTAAGTAGGGCTTGCTTCAGAGGAGATGCGTGTTAGACTGAGCTGCAAAATCCCCCCAAAAAACGCTTGGTTGCTCTTTGCGCTGGAAGAGAAGGTAAACTTTTTTCTTTCACAAAGTAAAAGAACTGCAAAGCACGTCTCAAGGAGATTCAAGATCCTCCTGGGATCACTGAAACATTCCTCCCGCACCCCGGTAACTTTTTAAATATGCTCTCGAAAGGATAGAGAGGGATTTTTAAAAATGCAAATAAACAAATATCCCCATTTCAGATGGCTGGCAAAAATAAATTAAGAATGTAATGAAACAGTGACTGCAGTCAACCCCCTCACCAGGCTCTCACTGTCCTCAGCTTCGTGCCCAAGAGCCCTGGAAAGGGAGCCATTTCCAAACTCAAACCCCCAAGTAATATGCTTGAGGGATTAACCGTCCATCACACACACGCACACACACACACACACACACACACATATGAAAAAATAAAAATAAAATAAGACTCCAATTTGATATTATTTTTCCACATCCACAAACATAAATCCTAATTTGTTATTCATGTGAGCATTTTTGAAACAACAGCTACCTACAGAGCACAACTCTGGACTGCATGCAAAGGCATGGAGGCGTTTGAAGGGCATTTTACTTCTGAGGACCAGATGAAAAAGATGGCAAGGAAAAGTAACAGAAAAGAGACCTCCACCATTCCACCAACACCTTGCTTCACAATGGGCTTGTGCTTGAAGAAGAAGAAGAGAAGAAGAGTTTGGATTTGATATCCCGCTTTATCACTACCCTAGGGAGTCTCAAAGCGGCTAACATTCTCCTTTCCCTTCCTCCCCCACAACAAACACTCTGTGAGGTGAGTGGGGCTGAGAGACTTCAGAGAAGTGTGACTGGCCCAAGGTCACCCAGCAGCTGCATGTGGAGGAGCGGAGACACGAACCCGGTTCCCCAGATTACGAATCTACCGCTCTTAACCACTACACCACACTGAATCAGACCCAGCTCTGTATTGTCTAAACTGATGGACAGCGGCTCTCCCAAATTTCAGATAGTCTTTCCCAGCCCTACCTGGAGAAGGTTCCAGGGATTGAACCAGAGACCTTCTGCATGCAAAGCAGATGCTCTGCCACTGAGCCAAACCCCTTCCCCATTTGATCCAACAAGGTTCTGCTTATGGTTGGAAGAGCTGGAGGCAAAGCCGCTAGAATAAGTTTATAAGCTTCCCATACAGGGAAGGGCCATAGAGCAACTGCCTTGCATACACAAGGTCCCAAATTCAATCCCTGGCATCTCTTGGCAGGGCTGGGAATATTCTCTGCCTGGAACCCTGGAAGGCTGAAGCCAGTCAGTGCAACAAGTGGTCTCCCTTGTATAAGATTCTCAATATTGTGTTTTAATAGTAATAATTGTCTGCTAACAGGATAACTGATGAAAGTTACTTTAAGTAATGTTGCAACATCATAACTCAACTGTGTAGCTGGATGTAAAAAGGTAAAGGTCCCCTGGATGGTTAAGTCCAGTCAAAGGTTACTATGGGGTTGTGGCACTCATCTCGCTTTCAGGCCAAGGGAGCTGGCGTTTATCCACAGACAGCTTTCCGGGTCGTGTGGCCAGCAGGACTAAACCACTTCTGGTGCAACAGAACCGTGTTGGAAACCAGGGTGCACGGAAACGCCATTTACCTTCCCGCCACAGCAGTACCTATTTATCTACTTGCACTGATGTGCTTTCAAACTGCTAGGTTGGCAGGAGCTGGGACAGAGCAACAGGAGCTCACTCCGTCACGGGGATTCAAACCACCAACCTTCCGATCGGCAAGCCCAAGAGGCTCAGTGGTTTAGACTACAGCGCCACCCACGTGCCTGGATGATACATGCTTAAAAAACAAAGTACATTGTTAGTGATCACTGGACTTGGGACTAGTGCATGACCTGAATCTAGATTTTGATCTAGATCTAGAATGCGATCTTGACTGAGATTTGGATATAGATGGTTCTTTTTCTCCCCTTTTTCATATACCAAGCTAGATGGCCCAATGGTTTGACTCAGTATAAGACACCTTCCTATCTACTGCTAAAGGAGCAGATGAACTCTGCCTTGATACTCCTGTCAGATCCCTATTGATGATCAGAAGTTCACGCAGGCCATATCCCCAATTGCTTTGGAATTTGTAGCAGACTCCACTGAGGTTTGGTTTATTTACCATATTCCCACCCTCCCTTCCCCCTTAGAGACTGCCAATTTCAGTTTCATATCTCTCTCTCTCTCTCCTTTTGAAAAGTGACACGTGTTTTCAAAAGCTTCTTGAGCAGTGACAGGGAACTTCTAACAGATCCGAGTAATTGGCCGACGTTTGAGGCAGCGAGCAGTTGGAAATGACAGTATAAGCAAAGAGAAATTGGTGTGGGCTAGTGGGGAATATATGTGCAGGGACTTGGAGACCGAATGCAATTAACTGCAGGAGGACCATCGGGTGCCTTTCCCTTCCCAGTGACCCAAACAGATTTTAATCTGATCTGCTTTAAAAGAGTCAGAGACAGACAGAGCCAACCGATTCAAGTGCTACTCTCCACCTTCCTCCTCCCTGCTGAGTTCTACAAGGGGCAACACTGAGGCTGAGGAGGAGGAAGCTGAAGGCAAGGTCTGTTACGATATTGAATCAATGCAGCCGCGAGCTGCTGGTAGCTTGAAAACAAAACATGATGGAATGTTAGGACTGTTCCGTGGGAAACAGAGGGACAGTCAATTCACAGTGCAGAGGGCACCGGAATTAGCTCAGAGTGTAATATGAGCTGTACAGGAAGTACAGGAGGAGTTTGTCTCTCGACTGCTGAAGCTTGAAGAGAGCAGTCATGATTTTTGTAACGCTGCAAAGACAGAAATAAAGGAATGTAAATACGTTTCTGTCTATCTCTCTCCCCTGCCCGGGGGGGGCAGGAAAGAGGGGGTGTGTTCTTCTCACTCTGAGAAGGATCGCCTATCGTGACCTCTGCCTGGATCCTGCTGGGGAATGCAGACAGGGAGGTCAACAGGAGATCAAGCCGGGTGCCTGGAGAGTGGCCAGTTTCTCCTGATAAAGGCTTGAATCCCAACAAGGTCAACCCCTGGACTGGCTGTAAGAAGCCAGGCAGACAGCTGGGAGCTAGTCAAGAGCAGACTGAGGCTGGTGGGCATGTTCTCAAATAGACCACCAGCCTTCACAGTACAAAATTCTGTACTGCTGCATCATGCAGTGAAAGATGAGTAACACCCACCTGCAAACCTGACTCAGTGTGGTCTCAAGAGGTGACATGATAGAAGTTCATAAAACTATGGGGAAAGTGAATTAGAGAAAAGTTTTTTTCTCCCTGTCTTACAACTCTAGAACTTGTGAGCATTCTATGAAGCTGAACGCTGGAAGATTCAGCACAGAATGAATGAAAAGAAATTCATTCTTCAAGCAGCACATAGTTAAACGATGGGACTTGTTCCCCCAGGAGACAGTGGTGGCCACCAATTCAGATGGCTTTAAAAGAGGATTGGATGAGGACAAGGCCACTAAGCAGCCTGGCTATGTTCTGCCTCCATAGTAATGTTTCTGAATACAGTGGTACCTTGGTTTTAGAACAGCTTAGTTTATGAACAACTTGGAAATAGAACGCTACAAACCTGGAAGTAGGTGTTCTGGTTTGTGAACTTTGCCTTGGAAGCGGAACATGTTCCGCTTCCTATTGAGTGTGTTCCATTTGTAAACTGAGTCCCCCGCTGCTAATCAGAGGCTTCCTCTTGAGTCTGTCGGCTGTTGAGTCCCTAGCACCCACACAACACAGAGGTGATATTTGGAGCTTTTGTTTTTGCTCTCTTTTTTTTGCATTTTTGTTTGTGTGGCTTTTTTGTTGTTTTTTACTGTGACTTGTTCTTCATTTTATGGGACTGACTTGTGACTGTGGCTTGTGACTTCGTTTTTGTGACTGTGTGGAACCCAGTTCAGCTACTGATTGATTGATTGATTGTGTGGCTGCAGAAATGGATGAAAGCCCCCCATCCAAACAATGACTATCATCAGTGCACATAAGAAAAAAATAATTTTAATTTCTGTCATCTACAATACTGTCTTATTTATTTTATAGTACAGCACATTGATTATTGCTTTCATTTTATGGATCAGTGGTCTCGTTAGATAATAAAATTCATGTTAAATTGCTGTTTTAGGGGTTGTTTTTAAAAGTCCGGGGTGGATTAATCCATTTTGCATTACTTTCTATGGGAAAGCATGCCTTGGTTTTAGAATGCTTTGGTTTTGGAACAGACTTCCGGAACGGATTAAGTTTGGGAACCAAGGTACCACTGTACCAGTTGTTGGAAGCTGCAGGAGGGGAGAGAGCTCTTGTACTCGGCTTGCAGGTTTCCCACGGGCATCTGGGTGGCCAATTTGAAAACAGAATGCAGGAGGAGATGGACCACTGGCCTGATCCAGCAGGCTCTTCTTCCTTTCTTATGTTCTCAAGCAGTGGTAGCATCAGGGCAGGACTTGTAGAACTGCAGTGTCTTTTTTGTAGAAGAAGAAGAAGAGTTTGGATTTGATATCCCGCCTTATCACTACCCGAAGGAGTCTCAAAGCGGCTAACATTCTCCTTTCCCTTCCTCCCCCACAACAAACACTCTGTGAGGTGAGTGGGGCTGAGAGACTTCAGAGAAGTGTGACTAGCCCAAGGTCACCCAGCAGCTGCATGTGGAGGAGCAGAGACGCGAACCCGATTCCCCAGATTACGAGTCTACCGCTCTTAACCACTACACCACACTGGCTCTTGTAGATTGGAAGGAGTGGTCGGTGATGGTAGTTTGGTGGCTAAGAAGGATATACAGTGGTACCTCGGGTTAAGAACTTAATTCGTTCTGGAGGACCATTCTTAACCTGAAACTGTTCTTAACCTGAGGTACCACTTTAGCTAATGGGGCCTCCTGCTGCTGCAGCACCGCCGCCACACGATTTCTGCTCTCATCCTGAAGCAAAGTTCTTAACCTGAGGTACTATTTCTGGGTTAGCAGAGTCTGTAACCTGAAGGGTCTGTATAACTGGCATAATTGGGTTAGTGGTGTGTTTGTGTATATTGGTGGATTTGTGTGAGGTGTGGAAGTAGAATGAGATGAGTGATGTTGGAGAAGTAGTAGAAGGTATTGAATGATCTGTATACATGAATGTCAGGTTTAGCACTTCTCCCACACAAGACACAACACGCTGGCAGTTCGACTAGTTGAGGTTTATCAACAAGAGGCTTTCAGCAATCCGAGCTTCCCACATCTCATACCTCACTGTCGGAGTCAGTTGACTTGACTGCCTTCCGGCCCCTTCCAAGGCCAGATATATGCCAAGCCCGCCCCTGCTTCCTGCTGGTCTTCCTTTGAGCCAGTGTGGTGTAGTGGTTAGGAGCGGTAGACTCGTAATCTGGTGAACTGGGTTCGCTTCCCCTCTCCTCCATTCAGCTGCTGGGTGACCTTGGGCTAGTCACACTTCTTTGAAGTCTCTAAGCCCCACTCACCTCACAGAGTGTTTGTTGTGGGGGAGGAGGGGAAAGGAGAATGTTAGCCGCTTTGAGACTCCCTAGGGTAGTGATAAAGCGGGATATCAAATCCAAACTCTTCTTCTTCTTCTTCTAATCACTTGTTCCACCTCCTACTTCTTGGAGACTCAGCTGCAGCCAATTCCAACTCTTCTGGAGTTGAATCCAACCCCCTAGTACCACCTGCATCCTGCTCCTTCAGTTCTGTGCTGCTGCGAAAACTTTACAGGCAGCAATTCAGAGCAAGAAGGGCTCATCTCACTTTCTTGGCGTGAATGAACCAAGTGCCTGTTTTCCTCTGCCTCTTCCTCCCCCTCTGCAGATTCCTCTCTGTCGGCCATGTCTCTGACAATGAAAGACTGAATTTGGGTGTGGTATATATGAGTTAATGTTGTATATTGTGAGCCGGAATGTGTTTTGGCAAGAAGGAGAGTGAAGAGAGGAGGGATCCCTGAATCTTAAAATGTTTTCAAAATGTGAAGCTATGTTTTTGCTTTTGGGGTGGCAGATTTTATTGTTTGATGCTTCACTAGCAGACTTATGCCTGGCTTTGCTCGGGAATTCTAAGAAACAAACAACAACAAAATCAGTGCAGTTTTGAAGTCA